GCTATGTAGAATCACAGGAGTACAAACCAGCCCACCCAGAAAAACAGAGGAGAGAAGGACACCATCATCCATCCACTGTCTAAGCCACACACACACACACACACACACACACACACACACACACACACACACACACACACACACACACACACACACACACACACGCCTGCACATAAACACACACGTACATGCATACACACAGTTTGGACACCCAAATCCAAACAGACGGTGTTTTCCTGTTTGCAAATGAAAGGTTATTATGTGGACAATGTGTAGGTGAAAATTAGACCCCTTGGTACATTACAACGCGCACACACACACACACACACACACACACACACACACACACACACACACACACACACACACACACACACACACACACACACACACACTCCAGCTAATCTAATCTGTCTACATTTTTTAGCTCTTTTGGATCAGCAGAAACTCATGCATGCACACAGAGAAACTGCAAACTACCCACAGAAAAGTTCCAGTAGAAGTTGAACTTGGGATCTTCTTGCAGCAGAGCTACCCTTCTTGAACCACCATGAACTTAGTCACCAAAGTTTTCTTTCAGCAACCTAGTGTCATACTAGTGTAGCATGATGAATTGTCCATTTCTGACTTAAAAGGTCCTGCTCTGTTTTGCTCTGCTCAAAGCAAAACCAGAGGTTTCTGACACAAACCTAATCTACGAGGATGGGTCAAGGCCACCTATGCTCTGTGCTTATCTAAGCTATTGCTTCTCCGAACAGCACAAGAAAGAAGAAAAGAAGACAGAACTCTTTGTACTTAAATAGTAATCAAATAACTTTGTTGGTCCAAATAATCATGTAAAGCCAATGTTCAATCAGTCTGTGAAATGAAAATATTAATTACTTGATATTATAATCCTATGATAGAATATAATAAGTAATATAACTTTAAATATTTCCACTAGAGAATGATCACACATAATGCTAAAGTCACATGACACATTTCCTTTTTCTGATCCAATCAGAACCTTCCAGATCTGACGCGAGGCGTGGTTTTGTTGATGCTTGGTAAATCCCCTCTTGTTGTCCTTTTTTGATTCGACCATAAATCAAAACATCCAAATTATAAAACTATGCCCACGTCATCTTAACTTCAGTTCAAAGCTTTCTAGAGAAGTTGTTGGAGTGGCCAATCCGTAACTTTCCTTTTCAGCCGAAAGAACCCAACGACAAGCTGGATGAAATCTGTTGCATGTTCCACCTGCTGCAACGGTTCCTTCAGAATAAAAGCTGAACCATTACGACCCCTTTCAGGGTCTTGCTAGATGCCAATAAAACTGTCGTGACCTGGGAGTATCTCAAGACTGGTCTGGTCAGCAACCGCTGCTTTGCTACAGGCTTCAGTTACAGAGGAGGTCAAGCTGGACCCCGACATTCCTGATCTAATGGGGACTTCAGCCAAGGGTACTTAGACCGACAGAATGCCGTCTCAATGTGTGTTATACATCTCCAAACCAAAGCTTAGAGCGAAACATCATCTTCACTCCCATCAGAACTAATCGTTTCTCCGAATTTACTGGTTCTGAACATATTTCACACATACACAATCCTCAGTTTTACTTCACCTTAGTTACATCATACACATAGTGTTTCAAGTTAGTCTAGTTTTAATTTGTTTAGTAATAAATCTTTAAACTTTTAAACCTGACTCACTCTCTCTGTCTTGGAGTTGATACGAAGCGTTGCTCAATCCCGGCAATAAAAAGATCCTATCTTCTGGTTAAATTTACTCAAAGATCCATTAAGGTGATATTTCATATTTTATGATATTTCACATTTTATGGTTTCTCATTAAATGTAATGACATATTCACCACACTAACATTGACTGAATCATAGTCTTTTTTTCTCTTCCTTTAATATCGTCATTAAGGTCAGATGTTTAAGACCTAAAAAACTAAATTGAACAGAACAGAAACAAAGCTGACACAAACAAACTACAGAATGTTCCTGAGGTATATGTGACCATGTGCCACGTCTCATGACATCCTGGTGATAAAACTACAGAATCACACAGAAATTCTTTATGCATTTGAATCAGAATAAGTCATTGTTAAAAAGTGTGGAAGAAAACTGAACGAAAAGGGTTTGTAACGGTGTGTGTAGCAGACGACATGGTTTTTACAAGCGCTGATTTGCAACACAGATTAAATGTGTCGGATGACAGAACTTTGACCACCGAGGTTAGTGATTATGTGTTGCTGTTTAATATTGATTACATCTGTAAACTGTTTATCTGTTGCTCTATTAATGTGTCGTCATCTATGGCCACAGCCACTAAACTGTGAGTGCAAACAGCTGAAAAAAGGTTTCTCTGCCGCTGAGACGCTGGTAATGAAGTCACTTCTGCACACTGAAAGGAATCTGTTGACATAGTTCAGGAACCAGATAAGGATGTCCTGTGGGTGCCTCCCAGGTCAGGACCTGACCCAGGCCCCTCGCAGGGATAATGTATCCCAGATGAATGCATGAATGCATGGATGGACACACTGATGGATGGATGGATGGATGGATGGGTGGGTGGATACAAATAAGGTGCAACAATATACAAAGGTACATCTCAAAATTAGACAAAATGAGAAAAAATATCCAGAAAATCGCATTGTCTGATCTTTAAAAATGTATTTACAAATTAGGATTGTGGAAAAAATTTTGTTCAGTAATGAAAGTCCATCTCAGTTCTTTGTTATATTCCCTTGTTTGGCAATGGCAGAGGTCAAATGTTTTCTGTAAGTTTTTCACAAGATTTTCACACACTGCTGCTGGTATTTTGGCCCATTCCTCCTGTAGACCAGTGATTGGGGGGGGGCTGTCACTGCGCACCACGGACTTCCAACTCCTTCCAAAGATTTTCTATGGGGTTGAGATCTGGAGACTGGCTAGGCCACTCCAGGATCTTGAAATGCTTCTTACGGAGCCTCTCCATTACCCGGGTGGTGTGTTTGGGATCATTGTCATGCTGAGATTCAGTCGTTCTGGACCCTTTGCAGAAAAATAGTCCAACATTATTTCTTCTCCAAGCACAATGAGTAGACTTTTTAACTTGGGCTTGCCGCAGTCGTTAGCACTGTTGCCTCGCAGCAAGAAGGTTGCAGGTTCAAAACTCGGCTGCGGTCTTTCTGTGTGGAGTTGCATGTTCTCCGTCACTGCAGACGCCGAACCAATCCGCCTGTCGATCTCTCGATCCCTCCTACCCTCACTCGTGAACAAGACCCCGAGATACTTAAACTCCTCACCTTGCGGTAGGACCTCTCTCCCGACCCAGTATTGGCAAGCCACCCTTTTCCGGTCTATTAACATGTTTAAAAATAATTCTAAAATATAATTGTAACAAAATCATTCAAGTAAAGGAAAACCTACTTGCTTTGTGTATTCATGCATGTGTTATGCATGATTTTAGATATTTAATCACATACAATTTTAGATCAGAATTAACAGTCAGTCCATCATTTTTGATATTCTAACCTTCTGAGCAAATACATTTCTAAATGCAGCATTACTCATTTTGTATTCACACTTCTGCTTGGGTCTTTTTGATCCCAACTCATTTGATTGCATTTCCTTTACAGCACAGTTTCAGAATGTGCAGTTGTAGAAGTCAGGTGAACCCATCCTGTCATTGGCTGTTCGTCCTCATATGGTTGCGTTTTGTCAGCTCGAAAGCAGGCCTGAGAGAACGCTGTGGGAGTGCAGCACTTCCAGCTAAAGCCGACTGGAACAACACACGTCCGTGTGAACGCACACAGTCAACACCTCTAATCTCACGACGCATCAGGGCAGCAGCTAGTTTGTTTCTGCTGACATGTGGGATAGCTCGATGAGGTCAATGCATGTGCGTTCCAATACGTGGAAGTATTCATGTGTACTTGCGCGGCTCGGCTAATGACTCACTGTTGGCTGCTGGTCCTCTGTCCAGGGACACACCAACGCTGCGGCCAGGCGTTTGGTGTGCAACGCCTTGAGCCTGTACGGACTCTCAGCTGCAGCTGGTTGGAGGGAGGAAGAGCTCCTTCTGCATCTGTGAGCAAAAATAAATAAATAAATCCCCAAACACATTTTATATCTCCTGTAGAAGTTTACGTCAAAGTCACACAAACATCTGTAACTGATGTCATCAGGAAAACATTTTAGTTTGTTCTTTAACGCCTTGAGTTTTTCTAATTCCTGCCTGTGTTGTTTTACTGCTATGGCTCGTTCTTTTTCATTTTCTTTGTAGAAATGAAGTTGAGCTGAAATAAACAAAGTCATGAAAAATTGTAAGGTGGTTAAATCAACCATCAGATACTGTAGCAATAATTTAAAAATATAGATGTTGGAGTTTGAACATAAAACTGGTGATTTTCAACAAAAAGGTAAAACTGCTATAAAATTAAAGTATTCTACCAAAATAAAAGCATGATAATGGCATGTCAGAGTCCATTTGATGGTATTATTGTGTGTGTCAGTCCAGCCATTGATCCTTTGTGTTTGTGCAGGAAACCCCCGTGGCTGTGGGTGACTCGCCCACTCTTAACATCAAATCAAGATTTAGTTTAGTGGATCTCTTCAGCCCACCTTTATTTTGGTGGGCTTTCTTCTTATGAGTGTCTGCATGTATATTAGCTAAATATTTATTTCAAAATGACCGCCTTTGAGTTTTTGTTTCATTAATTAGATTTATATATTTAGCTTTGCTTGTAAATGCTTGTTTATAACTTTAGTGTAAGCTAAGTGCAAACATTTCAGTATCATATTTTGGACTGTTTTATGTGATCACACACACACACACACACACACACACACACACACACACACACACACACACACACACACACACACACACACACACACACACACACACACACACACACACACACACACACACACACACACACACACACAGCTTTGGGGGGATATGGTTTAATGTGAGGCAGCTGGAGAAGGGGTGTGGACAGAGCCGAACAGAGCCAGGCTGAGGGAGCGGGTCGGTATAAAGAGACAGAACACAGCCAGGCTTGATCCTTCTTCTCTGTCCTGCTCACTCAGACCTCACAGGAAAACTTCCAAATCCCCCGACCCTCCAGCTCCACTTCACTCCCCAAACTTTTCACTACACACACACACACACACACACACACACACACACACCGGTAAGGTTTGCCTACGCTGAGTCACACCAGAGAGGATGGCTGCATCCACGTGGAGAATAAGTGGGCTCTGCAGAAGCATGGCTGGACTCCTGCTGCTCTGCATGCTGTTGTTTAGCAGTAAGTACTCTTCAGCTGAACTTTGTTTTAGTCTTTTGGTTTTATTCATATCAAGATTTATGTTTGTAGGAACAAATTCATAGTTTTTATTTCTTTTTGGCCACCAAACATGCTTTTGTTGTACTGAAACAAGCTTGATTTAGTGTATTTTGGGCTGGAAATTTTATTTCTACTTTAAGTTTTCACCCAGCTGTACAAACGTAGGATCTGTTGTGGGGTGGCTTCAGAAACAAAGGGTCTGCTCATCAGCAGTGGAAAGCTTCAGTTGAAGAACGTTTTGCTGCACATCCTGTAGTACGTCTGGGTGGAGCTAAAGTCAGTTTGAATGTGTGTAAAACGGACGAAGCCATAGCACGGCCTCAACAAATGTAGAAATATGATGTTGCTGTTATCCAAATTACAAGATTAGCTGTGTCGTGTTTCTGCACAGCCTCTATAGAAACGGCGGAGAAAGAACAGTTCCCCAAAACATGCTTTTGTGTGTGTGTGTGTGTGTGTGTGTGTGTGTGTGTGTGTGTGTGTGTGTGTGTGTGTGTGTGTGTGTGTGTGTGTGTGTGTGTGTGTAGTCTGCTCCAAAGCAGTCTGAGGGCTGATGCTAATTGCAGGATGATGTAGGGCGCAGCAGCCTCTCCACTTGTGAGGTAGTGCTGCTTGTAGCTTGGGCCATTGTAACGACTTTTGCAGAGCCATCAGCCCCATCTATGAGAGCAGCGGTGGTAAATGTTTTGACTGACTTTGGGAAGACCAGGCAGAGAATTCCCGGCTGATGGAAGTAGCTACGATTTGACTTTATAAGGGAAAAGATCATGAGATGATGGAACATGCGCATAGTTTGTGCAATAAAAGGCACACCACCATCCCTCTGCAGCAGCAGCAGCATGGTTATTAGATTTACGTGAAGATCTAATCAGTGTTGGGTACTCCCCACCAAACCGAGGCATGTGGCCCTACGTCACCTATCACACACTAGGTCTTAAAGCTTTTACGCTGCGTGCTCTAGCTGCGTAAAGACAAATTCTCACTGGAAGGTTTTTTTTAACTAAATGAAAAAGTTCAGATGTAGTTACAATGGAGAAATCCCTCCTTTAGAACGAAACCAAGATGGTGAAAATGCACGTTGGACAAACATTATGGTAAAAATGGTGAACTACATGATCAGAATCAAAATCAGAAATCAGAATCAGAAAAGGTTTATTGCCATTGTCAGTGAACAAACAATTCACAAACTAGGAACTTGCTTCGGTGCTAACGTGCTACATATAACATGAATAATATAATTAAAAATAGAATAAAGTAGAATAAGGTAGAATAAAATATAATAAACAAGCATAAAACATTGCTATAAAAAAGGCAGGTAATGGTAACATGGCCGATAACGTGACGTTATGTCAAGTACCGAAGACGAGCATGGTTGTGTGTTTATAAGCTGTTCACAAGTCTAACGGCAGATGGAAAGAAGCTGTTCTTATGGCGAGAGGTTCTGGTTTGGATTGACCGTAACCTCCTGCCTGAGGGAAGCGGCTCAAAAAGTCTGTGATGAGTATAGATCTGGGTTTGTGCTTTTAGGACTGTCACCTGGGTGTGGTCTCATCACTGCTGACCCACCCACGGTTCTTTACAACAGCCAGCAACAGTCCTGCAGTCACACTACCCTGTTGCATAGATATCTGTCACTGTGGTGCAGATTTTTGTCTGAATGCGGCAGCGGCGTGTCCAGATCTTTTAAAATGGGGTGGCCCAGGTGAGGCACAACTTTGTGCATGGGTGGCACCAATTGTTGTGCTTTTTTTGTTTTACCTCCAAGCCTTTTGTGGACAATGAAAAGCCTAGTTAAAGGTAAATTAGTGTGGTGGCACCTGGGGTGGCCAATCAGATTCCAAAGGTGGCATGTGCCACCCCAGGCCACTCCCTGGACACGCCCCTGGAATAAGGGTCTGATCTCGGTGTTTTGATTATCCCTCATCACCACCTGGACAAGAGATAGTCTTTAATTTATTGTGTAGGTTGTGAATATGCTGCTGTGGTGCTGAACTCGGTTTAATAATGACCCGATGATGCCAATGGTCGCTAGCGGACATAGACTGTTGTTTTGTGACTTGACGGAGCCTTTTTTGTCAGGCTGATCTGACAGATGCAGATTTCGCCCAACTGCACACTTTGTTCTCAGAGGAGCTGTCATGGATTAAGCCATGCTTGATAGATTTAATAGCTAAGACGTAAAGATCTGGATCGTGTCTACCAAGAGGAAAAGACCATCGTTGGAAACAAAAACATGCTGCTGATCAAATGAATAGTTCGGATTAACTTCTGGGAATGACACCCATCATTTTTGTAGTTTTTGCTTTTTTTGCAGCGTAAATATTTCTGACTGAAAAGTGTGAAAAACACAAGCAGGTCAGCAGCAGTGACCACAACCCTAACTCCAAACATTTACCAACAATGGGGGATGTGCTGCAGCATGTCTCATCTGCAGCAGCTGCAGCTCACACCCTGCAGGACTCAAAGGATCAAGCATTGACCCCTTTAACGCCGCACGCCTCAGGAAACTTTGGGTGACCATGTTAAGTGGCCTTTGTGGTCAGTTCTAATGATTAGCAATGAGCCAATCTGCTTATTAGACACACGATGAGTTGGGCAATTAAGAAGCATTAGTAACAGAAAGAAATATTAAGTATTTTTGCAGACATCTAGTGGTTTGCAAGCATTTTGTTGAAACGTTTGAGCTGAGTAGCGTGGAGAGAACCTTTGCTCAAACACATGTGGCTCGATCATCCTGCAAACATCTTTGGTTGATATTCCCACTTCCCATGGCTGCCAGTCAGAAGTTATGCAGGCGTGCAAATATGCAGCAGTGAAATGGCCATGCTTTGCAAAGCTGGGTGATGTCATTCTGCACTTCCTAGAAAATGTTGTGAGCTGGTCTCCTCTCCAGATTTGAGGGGAAAACCCCGAGCTTTACATCTGCTCTGGCGAGGGGGGAAAACATCTTGCCTCGCTTAATTCAGCTCGTCATTCACGACTCCTCCTGTTGCGATGTCAGGGCCTGAGGCAGAGCCCAAAACGCTGTGACATCTGCTGTTTGAGAAGACTAGAATAAAAGAAAGATTTTCACTCGGTTGGAAGGTTCGGGCATGTGTTCGCTGTCATGTGCACGACTGCAAAGCCCCCAGAGCTCAGACTAACCTTTGCCTCACACTTGTTCTCCGCAATACATCTTATTTCAAGAGTTGATCAAAAAGGTCAAATATCTTTTTGATTTTCTGGAATAACTTTTGCTGCTTTCTCAATTGCAACTGAAAAGTCCCAAACTTTTAAACCATGAGGTTTTCAGTCGCGCAATCTAGTGTATGATGAAACTGCCACTGTCCTCCTGAGGGTCAGCAGGGTCTTGGTCGTCCTAGGTCAAAATGCTTTGAGCTAATTTTGCTCTGAGAAATGAGGATCATCTCTAAGGCCCTGTCCACACGTAGCTGGGGATCTGCCAAAACGTAGATATTTTTCTACGTTTTGGCCTGTCATCCACACGAAAACGGAGTTTTTTCACACGAAAACGGATCTTTTTAAAAACTCCGGCCAAAGTGAAGATCTGCGTTTTCTCCGTTTTGGGTGTCTGCGTGTGGACAGACAAAACCGGAGTTTTAAGGTCCGCAACGTCACTTTCCGCGACAAAAACTGCTGACATCACGTGTGCGACCTGTGTTTACACTAGCCGACAGCATGGATGCCCTCAGAGCTGCGCTCGCTTTATCAATTGTCCAAGCGCTTTTTGCTTGTTTGTTTTTGCAAGTGGAATTACTGCTCCTTGTGGAAGACCACAGACGAAGGACGAGGTTAAGAACGGGGGAAGTACTGCCGCCTACAGGTCTGGCATGTCCTTAACAACGTATTTATCCAGGTACGTGTGGACAGAGTTTTGTTTTTACACGAGGTGGTGTGGATGCAAGTTTTTGGAGGGGCGGATATTCGTTTAAAAAAAAAACCCGACTACGTGTGGACTAGGCTTAAACCTAATCAGATTCTCAGGATCCACACCTTCGGGAAAACCATCTTGCCTCCAGATCAGGACAATTAAAGAGAACTGAGCAATAAAATAGCTCGTATAAACGAAGCTCAAAAAAAGCTGTTTGTCACCACCCGTTTTTTATATTTGATTTGAGAAAGCTCCGCAAACAGTTTTCAAGAAAATAAGAAGTTTAGTCGTCTTTTCACTAAACCACCCGGGAGCCCTGGAAAACTGGGAACTCTGCACAACAACAAAAGACTTGGGATGGATTTAATACAGAAGAAGAAGGACTGGTCAATTTTGGCCCTGCCTGCACACGCATGGTGTAACGTTTGCTCCTCGGATTTAGTGACTTGAAGCTGCCAACTCTAATACAGGCTGACTAATGCCACTCTCTTTCTCATGGTCCTCAGCTGTGGACCAGCGTTCTTTCTGCCTTAAGCTGTGATGTTGGAGTTTGATTCACGTCATCTACTGGAGGGTGTGGGTCCTTTAGGTAAGCCTTGGCAGAGAGTGGTCTTGTGTCAGGCAAGGGCGTGTGTCCATCTGGGCCTAAATGGCTCGGAACCCACGTGAGCCTGGAAAGTAATCACCCCGGGAGCCTGAGCGCTGTCAGAAGGCCTTTTACTTCAGCGGTCTCTTCATGTGAGATCACGGTCAAAAATGATTGAAGGTGTCTGAAAAAAAAAACACCAGCTGGCATTAGAGTGTGTCCTGTTACCTCATTAGCACACTCACCACGACAGCTAGAGTGGATGTGTGCTTGCTAGCCTGTCACTTTCAAAAAGGAGTGAACCGTTTGTCGTGTTTGCAGATGGTAAATGGCCTGTATTTGATATAGCGCCTTCTAGAGTCCTGGAACCCCCCAAGGCGCTTTACAACACAATCAGTCATTCACCCATTCACACACACATTCACACACTGGTGGGGATGAGCTACGATGTAGCCACAGCTGCCCTGGGGCGCACTGACAGAGGCGAGGCTGCCGAGCACTGGC